GAGGTAGCAGGTGGTATCGTGGGATCCAAAGGGAGTCATCCGGTACATGCGCTATGAAAGGGCGGAGTTGAGTTGTGGTACTATACGAAATGGCGACAATCCAGGTCAAGTAAGCCAGTCAGATTATTCTGGAAGGCGCACGCACTGAGTCGTAAGCTGTTAGGGAAAAGCCACCTGCCTGTTGTCTGGCCAAGGTCGTTCGATTATCTTACATGCGCTAGCTTGCTGAATCCTGGTGATTATCGGGATTCGGCACAGGTGTCATCATCAACATGCGGGGGTCAAAAACGGCAGGGGTCTGGAGCGAGATAAAAGGTTAGAGGGATCTCTTTCTCTCTCGAAGCTAATCCTGGTGCACTATCGGTCGTCGGTCCGTTCTGGGTAGTATTCAAGAGCCCTTGATGGCTTCTGTGCTTAAAACACTGCGCAGGCCGCAGTGTATTAGCAGTGCCTCCACCAGCCATTCACATTACACCGAACTTGATATTGGACCCGATGTCTTAAAGTATGAAAGTAACTCATCACCATTTTATTCCTTCTACCAAACTCAAAGAAGAACAAGAACAAACAACACGCGATAAACAACACGCGATAAACAACACGCGATAAACAACACGCGATAAACAACACGCGATAAACAACACGCGATAAACAACACGCGATGGAAATCAGCAACGGTAAAGACAGTGTGGCCCATCCTCAGCCATCTCTCAATCCATCATCTTGCATCCCCCATCCAATGTATCGACAACCCCCTGTGAGCATAGGTCATGTACGTGGCGTTCGTGACCTCTTATTGCTGTTCAAGAAGGTCTCGTCCGATTCAAAGCACCCCATCCATGCCGCAAGCCCAAGCGGCGTGATTTGATCCTCGGCCACATATTAACCGCAGAGGGCCTTGGTGTAGCAGGCGTCGTCGAGGAACCTGCTAGCAGCGGTGAAGGCGTTGTCAACAGGAGCGCACTGGCGAGCCTTGAGACGGCGAGCGCCGACAGAGAGCTCGCCGTTACCACCGCAGCCCTCGCCACCCTGGGCGAACGCATTCCAAGGGGAGAGAGTCCAGGCACGGTGGCCAGCAGGGAATCCAGCAAGGCTGGGCTGGCCGTTGTTGGGCCTCAAGCTGTTGTAAATCCTGCCCTCATACACATTGTTGTCCTCCATGCCGGCAGCATCGGCGACGCCGTTGGTGTAGTGTCTCCAGCGGATGACCTGGTCCCAGCTGAAGCCACCAAGTGCGGCGTACTCTTGCTCATTGGGGTACGGGCTGAACTGGCCAAGGGTGCCGGAGACCTGGATGAAGTTGCCAGCCGCTGCGATCTCGTAGACGTAGCCGTTGCCGCCGAACATTTGAGTGAGGAATCTGACAGCGGTGTCTTCGCTGGCGGTGGTCGAGACATAGCCGTCATTATCACGGCTAGCACCGCTTTCGGCGCCGACGGCATGGTTGTACATGCTGACATTCGGGGTAACCTCAAGGAAGCGGCTGGCTCCCCTGGGAGCAAAGTTGCCAGCGGCGCGCATTTCAGTCGGAGTTCTGGTATCGGCGCGCCACACTCTGAACTGGGCATTGCACAGAGCAGTCCACAGGTTGAGGACAAAGAGGATGAGAATATTCTTCTGGAACACCATGTTGGCGGTCTGTCGTGCAAGCGACTAGACAAGTAGTGACAAATGAGGGACGGTGTAAGACGAGGCTTGAGAGAGTGGCTAGTGTTGAGTAGCGAATGAAGTGATGATGACAATGACAGAAAGAATCAACAGGAGAGAAGACATCCTGCTTTATACTTCTTCTGGCGCTCATGATGTTCACCATCTTCTAACGGCTCAACTCTGACGACGTTGACGTGGGCAGTACTTCTCTCTCAGCACGATATCATGCTCGTAATCTTGGCAGTGAGCTTCATGGTGGCTGAGTGTCGTCGACTCAAGAGACAGCGTTCTTTGGAATTCGAGGTCGAATGCCGGCACTATGACTAGGTTCAAGCCCAATCTTGGCTCCGCTCTTGGTGTTCAGTACTTCGCTCTCAACATGACGCCGTTCCCGAAATCTTGGACATGAGCTTCCATGTCCTGGTGGCTGGGTATTGTGACAACCCAAGAGACAACTGTTGCGAGTGCGATATCAAGAGCACGCACCATAACTAAGTTCAACCTCAAGCTTGGCTCGTACGAGCACATTTAGATTATTAGACACAAGCTGCGGTGCCGGCTTTATTCCGAAAATATTTCAACTTGATTGAGTCGAACGCTCTCGAACGCTTGGCATCGCAATCCGACCTAGTGTAGAATAGCTCAAACGCTGTACCCCACTCCATCTGTCATCAAACAACCTTCCTCGACTGCTGGGCAGACGGAACAATGCTCGTTATTGAACTAGGTGCTAGCCGGTCAAATCGTACGCAAAAGCGGAGAATGATGTCCTCGTAAGGCTATGTTAAAAAGCTCTTTGAGACAGATTTCCCCGAGATCTCCGGAGCACACATCCACTCTCTTTCATGGTCCCAAGTTGTAAAGGCAACCATTGCACCTTATCTTGTCATTTCAGACATCCAATCTTTCACACGCTGCCCACTCCTGCATTGTTCGCGCGACCATTACTGGACTACAAGGCTTCTCTCTGCAGACCTGTTGCACCGCCCGCTACCAACTTCCATCCAGTCAGAACATCATCGTCATCATGAAGAACCCAACTACTGCTCCCTGGAGCCTCAGCGCCTCTCGCAACGACGTTGAAAAGCTCCTCCGAGGCTTCCGGCCGGCGGCGATGGAGGACCGCTGGATGTTCCGCGCAGATGAGCCAGACGTCCGCGGAGACTTCGTGGTCCATGTGCACAGAAGCTGGACTGGGGACGAGCTTCTGCGCATAAACGTGGTCTTGGCGGCTCCGGGTGGAGGTGCCCCACCAGCAAACACCGACGAACCTCACGCTTCGATAACCGACATCACGTGGGACAGGGGGGACGGCGGTTTTCTTTCTACCGAGGCGGAGGCTAAGGAACTAGCAACTGCCCTGTTACGGAACGTGCTGGGGTGTGACTTGTGAGCTATGCTAGATCAGGAAGTGTGTTCGCTTCCGGACCAGATGCAGAGGGCATTCATAGTCGAAATATACCGAGACCGAGGTCGCTTGTTGTTTTATTCAAAAGAATAGGATGCTTACCTATGTGTCCCGTGTCATCAGAGCTGTTGAAAGTGTCATAACTATCGTGCATGTTACTACCTCAGTGGGTGCTGCTGGACTGCAGTCCTTGAGATGATGACCGGCGAAAGTCTTTCCCAACTCTGCTTGACCATAAGACTCCCAGTTCTCCGAAAGGAAAGTATCAATATTTCCAGATTAGATGAACCTTCCGTCTTCTACATTCGTGTTGTGAAGTCCACCAGCAGTCAATGGAATAGCCTTTCTTAGTCTGTGCAGACGCAAGCTAGTCGATCTTGGCCCTTCAACTAGGTTTGACTGGTCTGACGTTGCCCAGATCTTATCAACTGTGTTCAGAACGACCGCTTAAGGCATCGTCCATCACAATTTAAACACGGAGTAACCCTTAGCAGGGCTGCAGCGCCAAGATGCGTCATGTGGATTTGGACGTGCAGATATTCTCCGTCCCGGTCCGCGGGTTGTCGCCGGCAGTCCAGACTCCAGCGCGGTTCGTCCCCACACCCGCCATCCGAAGGGGCCGAAGGAAGGGATGAAAAAGACGGACGGCATATTTTTCTTGGCGGAGGCGCAATGCGCCAGTTTTCCAGCAGTGTCAGGCTATTCTATGAATCGCCATTGATTTGGGCAGTAAGTTCAATTATCCTGAGTTTGAGCCCCGTACTTGCCAAGTCCGGCTTTCGACCGAACCATCTACAATACACGCAAATCTGGAGACTTTTCAGCCCTGCATCAACGTCTTTTCAAGATGTTCATTGGTACCAGATGTATGCCAGAGTCTACTTCTTGCAAGAGTCTACTTCTTGAGTCAGCTGGCTTGATCTGTCTATTTCGGTCTTTCCGATGACATCTCTCAGTCCTATCTGGGTATATCTGATCCGAAAACGAGATGTCTCGGTCAGATGTGCCTTCTCTCGCCCAGATAGGCATACCTGACCCGAAAGTACTCGTATCCTGCAATACTAATAGGCATCCTGTCTCGCACTTCGTTGAACAAACCAGAACATTCATTCACCTGCCACCAGCTTTGTCTCTTCAACTCCACTTTCACATAAACACTTACACAAAACACTCGTTTTCCTCATCCACCCTCAAAATGCGTGCCGCCGCCTTCATCGCCACATACTTCCTTGCTGCAAGGTTCGCTGACGCACAACCCGATTTAATCGATTCTGTATATAGCTAACCATAAGCACTGTCTTACAGCGCTGCAGCTCAGACGATCTACTGCTGCAGCTCCAACGAGAATGACCAAATTGTGTACGAGACAGATGAGACCGCTGTCTGCTGCCAGAGCTCTGGAGGCCAACTCCAAGGTGTAAGTTGGTTGATAAAACACCGGAAACTCTGGCCAGGGGCTAATCTTGTGTGACTGTTAGGACGAGTGTTTGCTGGAAGTAGGACGCTTTGGGTTCAGCCAATGCTGCCGTCAGCAGACGGTCTTCACTTGCGATTTCTAATCTGCAGAGACCGCTGATGAGAAGATGGTGTACTGCAGTTGAAGTGCCGTTGAATTGCTGTGTATGTGTGCATGATAAATACTGGAGTGATTGTCCGTGGTCATGTATATTTGTTAGAAGCAGATAGACTGTTCATTATGCTTGTTACGAAATACCATTCCCATGGTTCGAGAACTTTAGACTGCACCTTAACTCTATCCCTGTTAAACTCTCATGATGCCAGGCCCTTGCTGATTAAACCCCCACATCGTTAGAGGAGCAGATCCATAAATGTTGATAGTCATTTAGGACTAAAGTGGTAGTCGGGTTGGTGACGACCGGCGAACTTCCGGTGTCGCCATCTTGGCTCCACGTAGGGCTGCGACCTCTCACCAAAAAGTGCGGCGGACATAGCTCAGTTGGGAGAGCGTCAGACTGAAGCGGGTACACATCCGGGAAACTTCATTCAATCAATCTGAAGGTCGTGTGTTCAATCCACACTGGCCGCATACTCTTTTGCTTTTGTTCAAAGAATTCCTTTTGCTTCCTACTTACTCCATTACACCAAGAGACACTCGCTCCAGCGGTTTGTTTGCATCGCTTACAGGGAAGTAAGCAGCAGATGAGGTGTAGATCATATGTGCTGTCCCTCCCAAGCCACTATCCCGGGATCTTAGGTGTCTTCCAGGCTGCTGTTGAGACATCCTGTCGCGAGCCACTACCTCGGGATCTTCCCGCTTCACGGCTGTCATTAAGGGCATTGGCTTTTTGTACTTGCTTGCTCACAGACAACTGCGACAAATGAGACGAAGTTCATATCCCGCACAGTCATGGGAGACCACAATAGACATCCATCGTTGGAGTACGGTCACAGAAATCGGGAGGTCTGACACAATCCTTGGTGGCGCAGTCAGCCTCATCGACCACGTCCGTGTCGCGAAGAGATGCTTTGTTGAGATCTCCCTAGAGAGTGCCACCTTCTTGAGTGACCGCTCGAAAGGCCTACACGATTGACCATGCTCGATCGGTAATCCGGATGCTAAAGGAAGGAAGTTTGTAGGAGAGATCTGTCTTTCTCATTATCTCTGAAACAAGGTAACCTGTATTGATAGCGGTGGACTGTGGTTGAATTACGATGCTGATGGGCCTTAAACAATAGCTTGTACTGAAAGACGAGAGCGTAGCCATCATAGGTAGGTCTCCTGCAAGTAGCCTCCGTGACTCTCAATAATACCTCTTCAAAGGTCTTACGGCAACTGGCTTGTTGATCATTCATCGAGAGCTGATCCTTCGTCCTTTTCCCCGTGTTCACCGTGCCACTTGCATGTAGGCCAGTTATCCATGCCTGGACTCGTCTAATGAATTAACGGAGAAGAGTCAGACTCAGCAGGAAGTCCAGAAAATGCTGAACGACCATCTTACCGGAGGTGACGAAACCTTAGTAGACTCCAGTCTGGTACCATTCAAGACCTGTGGGACTTCCATGGAGGCAGTGCCTGCCCGTGAGTTTAAGCTCCGGTTGTTGCGTTGAGGGAGATTCACTGATAAAGGTCTGGTAGAATAACCGGGCTCACATTAGCTCCGAATAGTTCAGCTAGGCCGTGGAGGACCTCAAGGTGGCCAATTAAAAACAAGCATTCTGGTATTGGCAAGTTCCTGCACGTCTCGACCCTTTATGGCAGGTAGTGGCTCGGTCGTACCTGCAATCTGAAGCCGACCGGAGTTCACCCTGAATTTTTCTTCCTTCCTTCTACCAATCTACCGCCCACCCAAGCCACTTTCACTTTTTTTTTTCACATCACAAGCTCAACAACATCATGGCGGACGCTTCAGAGGGAGCAGCACCAGCTTCGGCTCCTGAGGAGAGCCCCCTAGGCAACCTCGGAGGTAACTGATCCATCCCGTTTGTACCTTCGATCTTGCGCTGACCTTGGAGCTTCACCGCAGCTATGTTCAAGTGGAGATACAACCATATCTGGAAGCTCTACGGACAGAAGAAGTACGAAGAGGCCGAGGCCGAGGCTATGAAGATGCTGATGGAGCCACGTCTTGGGGATTATCATCGAGCCGGAATGCACTTGCTGCTTGCTGGTTCCCCTCATGACTATGTCGACAATGCGAAGCAAGCAGTTCGCCTTTACGGCAAAATTCTCGAGGAGCACGGTTCCAACTTTTCTCCCAAGGAGCAGAGCGGCATCCAGAACCTCATCAATAGGTCCAACCAAGCCTTGGAGAAAGCGCTCAGAGATCAGAGCCGCATTGAACGCAATATTCGCGAGTACCTGTAAGCTATTTTAACTACGTAATCGAGTGAATTCGAAGCTGACTTATTCTCTTTCCAGTGCCAGCGGCAAGACAATCGATGACCTCCACGACGAGCAAATGAAGGAGCTGCAAGAGCGCGAGATGGAGCTCGCCAGGGTCGAGATGAGCAAGGAGGAAGTCGCCTTGGGATCCCAGGTCCCACCTTCCAGCCAGAGCGTCCCCGATGACGCTGGCGCCGCCCGGAGCTCTGGTGTGGGCGGCTCCCAGTCCGCTGACCGGAAGCTGCCGATGGAAATGGACGAGGAATTGCCGACCTATGACTGATAGGACAAAACCATGGCGTCGCTTTTGCCTACTCAGGCACGTTTCTGGTGTCGCTCGTGTGTTCAGCCGTCTGAGCGGCAAGGTTGTAGGCAGGGGCTCAGAGGCTAGCTAAGCAGATAGTTGCGCAACCAGTTTTCCTCGTGCTTTTGCACCTATGTGTCTTCCGTTAATCTTAACAATGTTGCTCTTGAGACTTTCGTCCTTAATCTTTGATTCCGCAATTGCTGGCTACATTGGGAGGCTCAAAATTGGCGGGCGTCGGGAGAAATCAAGGTTCTGACAGCGTTGATCATGATATCGAAATATGAAACTTCCCTGGCGGTTTCTTACATTTTTCATGCGACTCTGTTATCTTTCATGTTGCAGTAGACTCATTTCATCCTTTCGACTCGGGGATGCTCAGGCTATTCAGCCCCTTCTCTATCGTGGGAGGATTCATGATGAACCCATTCAAAAATGATTGCCGAATCTCGGGAAATCTCAAGGCGACGTTGTGTTTAAAGCCACGTTCTCCTTCGATTTACAACAGCGACATCGTGATGCGAATAGCTACGAGAAAACCTTGGCAAGTTTCAGCTAGGTGCTTTTGAAGAGCTCGTCGAGGACCGCAAGCGCACTAGGAAATACGCATATCAGATGTAGAGTAAAGGGTCGTGACCATACGAGAAGTTTCCTCAAGTAGAGGCAAGCCACGGACAAAAAAACATATTCCGCGATGGTGAAGGCGGGACAGCAGTTCTCTAGGGACTCCTGAAAACGTAAGACCGAAACAACAAATATCCTTTTTATGATCGGAATAGATCTTCCTTGATTTGAAACCCCCGGCTGCTATGACTTTTGAGTTTGGATTTCCGCGAGCTTGTATTGTCACACATTAACACCTTGGAAATCATAATGTGGTCCGGAGCGAAGCTCCGGATGCGCAGGCACTTGCGCCGTAGCTGGAGGAGCGAGATCCGTTTACTTCACAAAAAAAGAACCCCCAGCCCAAAATCGTGCATGCTTTTGCGCTCAAATATCCTTCAGCTATTGGCTGACGTGATGCGAGAAGGCAGGAGGAATGCGCGGGGACGAGGCAGGCGTGGTCAGCAGCGGCGGCGTGAGCCCCGCTCCGGCCCCGCTCCGGCCCCGCTTTCGGTCCGGGAGCTTCGCTGACGGTCAGCGTCCAGTGTCTGGTATTGAATGCGCGGCATCATCGCTCAATCGACGTGCCGAGGCCTTCTTGACGATTGAAGCGGGTTTGCATGATGGGTCGATTCAGGGTTTCTTTTTGCTTGCCACACTCATTGCATTTCATCGCATCTGGATGGGTTGGCGATTGGGGTAACGTCGCGGCAAAGATGAGTGCGGCAGCCACAACCACAAGTAACACAATTCAGATGGGACACAAACGGCAAGGGAACTCATTCTAAAGTAATTTTGTACTTTGATTGCATAAAACCCCCATGTTGGGGGTGCATTACTCGCGATTCATATGCGATATCTTGGTATCATTCATCGATGGCCTTTGGGCCACCACCACCACATTACTACGTGACTTCATGTTTTAAGCACTGATTTCCTTCTCGTTCTTCTCATCCACTTCCATTTCACGGCCGGGCGCGTTGCTGTCCTTCTTGCCACCTCCGCAAATGCTGCTGAGGCCGCGGGCGATGTCCTTCATGTTCATCGCGACAATCTCGCTTGTGGGCTTCTCAAACAAGAGATCAATCTCTTCAAGACTCTTGTTTTTCGTCTCTGGCATGAAGATTAACCTGTCGCGTTCATTTTTATTAGTTATACGTTCATAGAAGTGAGGTTTTGATCAAACGTGGTGATATGAGTTGAGTATAAAAAAGTTGGAAGGAGAAGGGTGGTGACATACTGGTAGAACCATCCAATGATAGCGATGCCTCCGTAAAAGCCTAGCGTAAGGCCCGTGCGCGTCATAGCCTCCTGCATGGCAGTAAAGTTGTAGGTGACGATGAAAGACGACAGGAAGAGCAGACCAGAAGACGTGGTCATGCCGTATGATCTGAGGTAAGTTGGGTAAACCTCTGAAGGAACCACCCATGTCAAGCACGCATAGCAACCTGCGGCGTTTATTTGATCAGTTATACGTTCCCAGAAGTGAGGGTGTTGATAAAAAATGAGTTTTCATCAAAAGTGGTGACATACCGAAGAACATCATGTACAAGGCCAGACCGACCAAGTAGCAAGCGACAGCACCGGTAGTGTTCGTCGTAGTCGGAATCTGGTAGCTGGCACCGATAATGACAAGGCCAACGAAGAAACCGGGAAGCATAGTGTTGGCCCAGAAGCGACGACCAAACTTCTCCATGTACATTACGGCGGGAATGGTACCAATGAGGAGAGAACCACCACCGACAAGAGACATGTAAGTAGCCTTCTCGTCGTTGAAGCCAATCTGCTGCATGAGAATGGACATGTAGTACATGATGGCGTTGACACCGGTCAGCTGACCAAGGAGAATCATGATGTTGGCGTAGATGAGAGCACGACGAGCACGAGGGACGGTGAAGAAGTCCATCCAGGGGAAGCGCTTGTTCTTGGCGCCCTCGGCAACGACCTGCTGCTCGTCAAGGACGGAGACCTTCATGATGAAGAACTCCTCCCTAGCCTCAGGTGTGGAGGTACCACGAATGCGCTTCCACACTTTGTAGGCCTCAAGAGTCTTGCCCTTGTGCATGAGGAATCTGGGCGATTCGGGAAGGAAAAGCATGCCGTTAAGGCTGTTAGCTTCAAGATAAATCATACATTATCATAAGATGACTTACCAGCCCACATGATGGAGGAGAAGAGAAGAGAAGAGCCGAGAATGAAGCGCCAGTTACCCTTGACGTGAAGGAACATGGCAGCGACAGCATAACCAAGAACCTCACCAAGGGCGATGTTCAGCTGGTAGAGGGACACAACGTTT